TAAAACACCAAGCTCATGAGGACAATTACACTACAAGCATGCAAAACAAAGCTCAAATGCAACTAACAGCCCAAAACAATGCTAAAACAGGTTTAATACAGTGCTAAAACATGCTGGAATTGAGCTAAAAATAGTTAGATTAACAAGCTAAAACATGGCACAAACTAGGCTAGTAAGCAAGACACAAGAAGGGGAGGCTAATCCCTCCAAATTTGGACTTCAAAACATAATTTTGGCCACTGAGATAACTCTGAAAAATAGTGTTTAAAAGCTCATAAAAAGATGATGCAAGGGTGGGAAACACAAGGGCAAAGGCCTCCAAGACAAGGTACAAAGAATGACTATCAACCCCTCAACCTTTAATGGCCTTAAACCCAAGCATCAACCCAAAATAAAAAATAAAACAGAGTTTTGACAGCCCAAAACAATGGAAATGCAATAGGAATAATAGCAAATAAAACAAAGCTACCAGCAAAGTATTATACCTCTTGAAGAGAATAAGCTATTCCAAGCAACAAAACCAAGTGAACACACCCTCTAGAGCTCAAACCAAGCTCAAAAGTACCTCAGCTCAAAGGTGAGAAGATTTGGCTAAGGGCATATAGGTAAAGGTTAAGGAATTGTAGACTAAAATGTAGAAATTTGCTAGAGAGAGAAAGAGGAAAATTTTTGAGCTCAAAAATTTTCCTCTTTCTCTCTCTAGCAAATTTCTACATTTTAGTCTACAATTCCTTAACCTTTACCTATATGCCCTTAGCCAAATCTTCTCACCTTTGAGCTGAGGTACTTTTGAGCTTGGTTTGAGCTCTAGAGGGTGTGTTCACTTGGTTTTGTTGCTTGGAATAGCTTATTCTCTTCAAGAGGTATAATACTTTGCTGGTAGCTTTGTTTTATTTGCTATTATTCCTATTGCATTTCCATTGTTTTGGGCTGTCAAAACTCTGTTTTATTTTTTATTTTGGGTTGATGCTTGGGTTTAAGGCCATTAAAGGTTGAGGGGTTGATAGTCATTCTTTGTACCTTGTCTTGGAGGCCTTTGCCCTTGTGTTTCCCACCATTTTACTATTTTTTTTCAAGCTTTTAAACACTGATTTTCAGAGCTTTTTTAATAGCTAAAATCATGTTTTCAAGTCTAAATTTAGAGGGGTTAGCCTCCCCTCATTGTGTCTTGCTTACTAGCCTAGTTGGTGCCATGTTTTAGCATTTTAATCTAGACTTTTTAAGCTCAATTTCAGCATATTTTAGGACTTATTTTACACTATTTTAACACTATTTTGGGCTGTTGCTTGCATTTGTGCTTTGTTTTGCATGCTTCTAGTGTAATAGTCCTAATAAGCTTGATGTTTTAGGTCTTAGACATCACTTGTTTGAGTTGATAGCACTTATTTTTGGCTTTTCATACTTCATTTCAACACTAATAATCTTTGCAACATCTCTCCATTCTTGGATTTTTTTTTTATTTTTCTTTGAAAGTGGTTTCAAGTCACTTGTTTGCCCAAGTATGAAATTAAAGTTTCATACTTAATGCTTTAATCCCTTAGGGGGTTCATTACCAACGATATGATGCTTCTTTCATACCAAAAGCAACTTGTGTTTTGAGCCCTCTTTTCATTAGAGGACCTTAATTCACCATTGGACTAAATTGAATTAAAGAATGGTTGCTAAACTAAAATTGAGTAACTTGGAATTAAAATGGTACAAGATAATAATTTGGTCGTGCTCAATTGGACGTTAATTGAATACATGGAAACTTGAACCATTTCATACTTGCTAGTGATGAAATGATTCAAGGTTCCAAGGTCACCACTTCTCTTGATTATTCATGAAAGGGAGGAGGTTTGTGTCTTGTTTTGCATGCATTAAAATTGCACACATTGGTTCATATGCCATCATGCAATGAAATTGCTTGAGTTGGTGGTTTATGAACCAAGTTCACTACTCCTTTGATTTGTTCATGAAAAAGAGTAGTGAGTTGTGCAAACAAACCCTTGAAATACCCTATATATACTCTGTTTGTCCTCTGTTGTAGCAAGATGAATCTGTGCAGCAGTGGCCGGCAGGAGGCCAACAGACCACCTTTGATGGCCCCATAATTTTACTAACAATAAACCCATCACTTTCATAGTTAACATGAAATAATTTCACAACTCATGTTCGTTACTCGTAATTCATATAGCAATCGGCATGGAGATAAAGTAACGAGTTCGTTGGGTTACTTTCTCCAAGTAACACCCAAAATTAACTGCCATTTGGATTATATACAAAATGCATGTGCTGGTATGTAATTTTGCAAACCCACATGGACAAAATTTGTATTTTACTCAAAATATAATACTAATTTACTGAAACAAGTTATAACAAAACAATACGAAGCGAAACACATCGTTAGTTGATAAACCACATCACAAAAAACCCTTCAGTTAGATCCAACCAAATATGGAACAGAAACAAGCAACCCGCAATAGGAATCTTGGAATACAGACATAAGCCAATTTCCCACCCAAAACAATACACAGACAACCCATATATATCTCATCTTCAATTAGTTTTCAATATCACAAGTCACTGCAAACACAAATGACAACATCACTCTAAACAATATGGGAAATTTACAACTCGTGGCCTTGTACATAAGTAACGTTGTGCCATTTCCTGGCATTGTACGTAACCAATTATTTACACGTTACGCAAAGCAATCCGTGCAAAATGAAAACTACATACATTATTTACATGTTTTTTCAATAGCTAGTACTGTCTACCTAATAAATTAAGGGAATAAGTAAATCATACAAATTATACAATTACCTGATTCACCTCATCAATTATGGTCGAATCATTTTTGCACACTGCTGCGTCAACACTAACGCATTGGCCAACGGGCTGTTTGGAATCAGGAGAAACATCGAAAAATAGTCGCCATTGCTTAATGTGCAGTGTACTTGGATCCACCAACCCAGTTTTGCAGCGAACGGGCAATGACTCCGCATTGTACTCACGGTCAGTTATGTGGGTTGTATCTGCATCTGAGTTACTACCCACTATTCGGCTGAACCGAACCTTAGGGCACGTTCACTTTGTGTGCCCAATGCATTTGCAATTCCCACATTTTCTTGGTCTTCGACAGTTGGACGAGGCCCATCCCGGGTTCCCTTTTGTTTTCACAACATCAGGATTTCTACTCCAAATTGTCGAGGGAATGAATGTTTCCCTTTGTCTCTATTCCCATCGTTCAGATTCCTCTCATATAACTCCTTCATCCGACTCGTCATCGGAAGACATGCATCCCTAGCCTCTGTGAAACCTTCCGTTGATTACAAGGCATAGAAACACATTTCATTGTAGGAAGAACTCAATATCCCATATCGGGCCGTCTGTGTTGTAGTGCTATTAATTGAGGGTTGAGGCCATTGCTGGCCATCCTTGCTTGCAGCCCTTGTCCATCTATGTAGCACACAAGTTAGGGGAATTTGCGTTAAATTTTTGGCTTTCATAGCACATATCATGTGACAGCAAGGTAGCCGCAACGACTCAAACTTCATGCAAGAACATCTCATTGCAGCATCTGCTGGACTGTGTGTTACTATCCATGATCTATTCTTCAATTTGTACTTATGAATATAGTAGCATTTCTGACCATTCGGCAAAGGGAACACGTCATTGACATACAACTTCCCCTCTTCTAAGATTTCATCAAGGAACATTCTAAATATATTTCGGGTGAATAGCTCAGCTCCATGTCTCTCTATATCTCGCAATGGAGTAATCAATACCGGAAAAGTGTTATTTGTTTCAGCATCATCTCCAGCCTCGTTATACCTTATCCTTGCAAGAGCCCAATCATAGTGCCTAACAAATTCATATAGCTTCAATTTGTGTTGGAGGAAGGGATTGAAATAAGCATTAATACACTCCGAGCGCTGAGTGCTCATCATCCCAGCAAAGAAATGTCCATGTATATATGCCTCAGCCCATATATGACGCTTCTCATATGTCTCCAACACCCAACTGTTGGTTTGAAGTCCAAATTTTTCAACCATTGTCGTCTAGCCATGCTCAAACTTTGTCTCATTTGTTTCTATGTCCATGCACTGCTTGAAAGCATGTGCAAAGCCATTTATGTGAACATCTGAAACAATATTTTTCCCAAGATGCCAATTACATAATCGATGTCTTGCGTCTGGAAATACTCTTCTGATTGCCTCTCGCATCGCCTTATCCCCATCTGTCAGTACAAACACAGGTGCTTTTTTACCCATCGCCTCCATAAATGTTTCCAAAACTCATGTGTATGTCTCACTTGTCTCATTAGCTAGCAAAACACATGCAAATATCGTGGTCCTAAAGTGGCTAGTCACACCAGCCAACATGACAAAAGGTTTCTTGTATGCATTGGTTCTGTAAGTTAAATCAAATATCAACACATCACCAAACTTTGCGTAGTTGGCCCGCGATTTAGAATCTGCCCAGAATAGATTTTGTAACTTGTTATCGTTACACACACCATACTTGTAAAAAAAACGTGCATCAACATCAAGTTTTGCACATAAGTAAACCAACGCACCCTGCGCATCACCATCCTCAACTTCAGCTCTACGTTCGGCTTGAATATGGTTGTGCAGATCCGTACAGACGAAACCAACATTCTCATAAGACCCGGATTGATTTACCATATAGTCCATGATTTGGCTAGTCTTCACACCGACGTTGCGTATAGCCATTGCTTGAGCTTTGTCAGCGCTGTTTAAAATGCGATGTGACCTCAGATACATCACACAGTGTTGTTCCGCCAATTCATGGTTGTGGTCTGCAACGAAGTGAGTCACAACATACTTTCCCCCTTCACCAGCATCTGCATCATACCGTATGCGAAATTGGGCTTTGCAACCTACTCTTGTTAGTGCCTTGGGAGCTCTACTCTTCTCAGCAACACGGTCCAAGTATTTTGGTAATCTCTGACCTTCCCTTGAACACAACCACAGCCTACTAACAACCTTTCCCTCTTTATTTGTGTTAAATCTGGATTTTCGTATACTAAATCCCTTGGCTTTAGCATACGCATTGTAGAAAGCTTCTCCATCTTCGACTGAATCAAATTTCTATTCCAGAATAGCACGTTCAACATCACCAACTATGTCATTGCGATGAGCATCGTCAACCATTTCTTTTTTCACATCAGCTCCACTATCTTCAACGTTTATGTTGGTTGCTTCTTCATTGCTCGGACCAACTTCGCAACCATGATAAGGTTCTGCCCGACTTTCATTAATCAAACGAATGTCATCTGCTTCATTTGGAATATCATAATCATCACCTTCCCTTTTAACTTCCGCTGGGGCCATACTGCACATGACATTAGTACAAACAATTACTTGATGACTGAAAAATGTTAACACAAACACAAACATGACATTTTCACATGGTTTAGTTGTTTGTGCAAACACAAACACTCGCTTGAGAAAGAGAAAGGTTAGTTGCCAATGGAGGGGTTTCCGTTTGAGCAAAGCGTAGAGCGGTTGAAGTTAGGATGGGGGTTTAGTTGAGGGAAAATAGCTGAAGTGAAGAAGCCAGAGTGACAGAAAGGGATACAGAGAGAGGGAGATAGCTCCATACCTTATATCTAGTTGGAGAGAAGGGCTTCACTTCAGCAATCGAACCAACACAGCCTTGTAGTTCCGTTGTTGTTGGAAATCGCCCGTTATACTGTTCCCTACAGAGCTTCGTCAATGGAACCAACCCAGCAGAGGCTTCTCGCTGTTAATGGAAATCAAGGGTTACATTGACTCAACCTTACACACACAGAGAGAGAGAGAGAAATACAGAGAGTGGGTGGGATGCAATCATGCAAATACAAACACAAGCATTAACCGGTTGCCCCGGTTTCAACTTTTTCACAATTAAACAATTCAATGGTCTTGATCAATTATTGTAATCTAACGACTAACAATTGGGTTGCATATGGTGTGCAAACTTAAGGGGGTTGTACACTTAAACAGCACCCAAGTTGATTATTAAATTGTGAATAGAATTGTAATTAATATTCATAAAAAAAGTGGAAAAAATTATAATATTAGTGTAGTTTTCAGCTATTTAAAAATAATTTGTTTACAATAGGACTTAAATATCTTAATAGAAAATTGATAGGATTTAATAGTTTTTCTTGGAAAAAATAAGACTTTAATTTTTTTTCTTTTTCTTCAAAAAATAACCAAGGGACTTATATGTACAATTGAACATAAATAATTCAGCTAAAATGTATAAACTATTATTTTAATTTTTTTATTTTTTTTTTATTTTTTATCAGGCTAGTAAATGAGTAAGATTATAAAGGCATCCAATATTAGACTTTGATCCTTTCCAATCCATATATATAATGGAAGATTTTCATTATATATCTAATGGTTATGAATTAAAAATAAAAATTTATAATTAATTTAAATTAGAAAAAATTATTACAGTCACAGATGATGGAATAAGACTTTTTCATTATAATATGAAATGGAGAGGATCACAATTCTCAAATATCAATCCCCACATATGAAACAAATATTGATTGCAACAGTGACTTTTTTGGGAGCAAATAAAAAATCAAGAAAAGAAATTGGATGAATCTGTTGTTCTTCACTAAGCGAATCATAGAGTACCTAACAACAAACTTACTCCATAATTAAATTAAGAAGTCTATTGTTCCAGACTCATTCACACAGATTTTTCTTAAATTTGAATTATAAGATGATAATTTTGAATAATTTTTTAACCGCTAAGCTTGGATTTGTAATATTATTATTATATTAATCTCACCCACACTCAATAAGTTTGGATTTGGTAGAATTTTTTTTATTGTAAAAGCTGATAAAAGCAGAAGTTAAAAACAATCCTTTTCCATTTTTTGAATGATCAGTTTTGTCTGATATACTGTAAGTAGAAACTGTAGTAAATAGTATGACACATGCTTTCAAATTATGTTCTATTTGTTTCGGCAAAAGATATATTTTTAAAATATTTTTCGCATTTTTTGGTGTTTGATACGATGGAAAACAAAGTCAATGGAAAAAAATTTGCATGATTAATGGAAAACAAATGGAATATATTTTTGGCTTTAAAAAGTTAAAAAAATGTTTTCCAAACTAAACTTTTACCAATACCATGACATTGCCACCACTACCATCGCCTCCACCACGACACCGCCACCACCTCCACCCTATCACAACTGCCACCGCCACCACAACCCCACCACCTCCACCATTACCTGCTCCTCCTCTACCCGCTGCCGTCACTACAATTTCTGCTCCAGAATAGTACGTTCAACATCACCAACCATGTCATTGCGATGAGCATCGTCAACCATTTCTTTTTTCACATCAGCTCCACCATCTTCAACGTTCATGTTGGTTGCTTCTTCATTGCTCGGACCAGCTTCCTAACCATGATAAGGTTTCGCTCGACTTTCATTCATCAAACGAATGTCATCTGCTTCATTTGGAATGTCATAATCATCACCTTCCCTTTTAACTTCCGCTGGGGCCATACTGCACATGACATTATTCAAGAGGTGACAACAGAAATGTTATTCTACTTGCCAACCTTAAGCCTTACGAGGTTCTTAAAGGAAGATCTAGAGAGATCAAGTGTGATTATAGGAAATCATAAAGATTGCATGATAATATCTCTGAATTAATCAGAGACAATTAGTATGTTATCATTGTGTCAATTATAACATATATGATTGCTACGTGACTTTGCTTGAAAGCAAAGATGAGACAACCGGTTAGGGTGAGAGAATATAATTTTGAATTTTTAAATTCCAAATATATTCTTAAATTGGTGGTTCCTAGTGAGTACAAGATCACTGATCATAGAGATAGAAAACTGGTGGTTCCTAGGAGGTGTTAGAGCACTGGTTATACAGTTATGAGTTTATGGTTCCTAGTAGTGAACAGATTACTGATCACATGTCAAGACATGATGGTTCTTAGTAGTGGAGAGGCTACTGATCATATGTCAAGACATGATGATTCCTAATAATGAAAGAGTCTATTGATCCTATATCAAGACATTGTGATTCTTAGTAGTAAAAAGTCTACTGACCACATGCTGAGAAATTAGTGATTCCTAGTGATAAGACTACTGGCCATGTTTATGAAGTTCCGAATAGTAGACTATTGAACACTGGATTTGTGTCTCCTAATAGTAAAACTATTGGTTTCAGAGTGATAGGTTGGATCAAATATGTTTGGGAGCTTAATTCGGTTGATGACATTTTGGGAATGTATTTATTGTGATATGATTTTGAGAGTTTCATAATCATTGTGGCATAAGGAATTGTTTAAAGGCCCTGTATGAATTTTTGGAAAAGACCAAAAGCCTTTGTATAAATTCTACAAATGTGGGGGTGTCATGAAAAATGTGGGAATACCTAAACCCAAGAGGGTTAGGATAAACCTAAAAATCCGTTGACTTTGTATTCAACGGTTATGCACAATATAGCAATGCTTATCGATTTCTTGTGTATAGGTCTATTATTCTAGATATACACAAGAATACTATAATGGAATCAAGAAATGCATCTTTTTTTGAAAATGTATTTCCGTGTCGTCTCCAAGAAGAGATTCATAGTTCCATGAAAAGAGATTGATGGTCACAATGATCACAAGTTGATGATCAAGCTGAAGATGTAGATGAGTCAAGAAAGAGTAAGAAGGCTAGGACTGTAAAGTCTTTTGGTCCAGACTTCTTGACTTATATGTTAGAGAGAGAACCTCAAACTTTCCATGAAGCTATAACTTCACCTAAAAGTCCTTTGTAGAAAGAAGGAATTAAGAGTGAGATTGATTCCATCTTACAGAACCATATTAGGGAGTTAGTTGATCTACCCTAAGGCAGTAAGGCCTTAGGAAGTAAGTGGATCTTCAGAAGAAAGATGAAAGCAGATGGATCAATTAATAAGTTTAAAGCTAGGCTAGTTATCAAAGGATATAGGCAGTGAGAAGGCCTGGATTGCTTTGATACGTATTCACATGTGACAAGGATTACATCTATTCGCATGGTGATTGCAATAGCAGGTTTACGTGGTCTGGCAATACATTAGCTGGATGTAAAGATAGCTTTCTTAAATGAAGATTTAGCTGAAGAAATCTACATGGAGCAACCCAAGGGGTTTTTAGCTTCAAGACAAAATAAGAAAGTCTGTAAACTTGTCAAATCATTGTATGATTTGAAACAAGTTCCTAAACAATGGCATGAAAAGTTTGACAACTCTATGTTGTCAAAAAGGTTCAAAATCAATGAGTGTGACAAATGTATATATGTCAAAGACACTGACAAAGATTATGTCATTTTGTGTCTATACGTTGATGACATACTCATTGTTGGTAGTAATAATGAGATGATTAGAACTACCAAGAGATTGTTAAACTCTATGATTGACATGAAAGATATGGGCCTTGCAGCTATTATTTTAGGTATTAAGATTACCAGAACATCTAGTAGTATTGTACTTTCTTAGTGTCACTATGTTGAGAAGATACTTGAGAAATTTGGTAAATTCGATACAAGTGTGTCTAGGACACCAATAGACGTGAGTCTACATTTGACTAAGAATAATAGTGAGCGTGTTTCTCAGCTAGAATATTCTCGAGTCATTGGAAGCTTTATGTATTCGATGAGTTGTACAAGGCCGGATATAGCCTATTCAATTAGCAGGCTTAGTACATACACAAGTAATCCGAATGATACTCATTAGAAAGCATTATGCGGGTGTTAGGTTATTTACGCTACACCCGGGATTATGGGCTGCATTATACCAGATACCCAGCGGTAGTAGAAGGGTGTAGTGATGCTAATTGGATATCTGATATAAAGGACTCCAAATCCACTAGTGGTTATGTGTTTACTCTCAGAGGGGCAGTCGTGTCTTGGAAATCTTCTAAGCAAACATGTATATCGAGATTAATGATGGAATCTGAGTTTATTGCTTTGGATAAAGCAATTGAAGAAGCTAAATGGCTTCGCCAGTTCGTTGAGGATATTTCACGTTGCCCGAGGCCTGTGCCTGCTATCTGTATTCATTGTGATAACCAATCCGCGATTGGACGGGCACAGAATCATACGTATAATGAAAAGTCTAGACATATCCGTCGTAGACATAATTCCATATGACAACTACTCTCTAATGGAGTTGTCTCTCTAGACTATATAAAGTCTAAGGACAACATTGCGAATCCACTAACCAAGGGTTAACTCGAGAGTTAGTAGAAATGTCGTCAAGATGAATGGGGTTAAGGCCTTTAGTAATGTTACCGAAAAGAAAAACCCAACCTAGTTGACTGGAGATCCCAAGATC